GAAAGTCATTGACAATTTCTTAAATGTGAAAACAATTCTTGGATCACATACTTTGAACATCTAATTGATTCCTTTTGTATTTATTGTCATTAACACTAATAACTACTGAATTGAATCCATATGCACGCAAAGCATTATGTGTAGAGTGGACAAGCATCTTCTGTACATGTGCACTGCTTTTCAAATGTATAGACAGGCTATTATAATTACTAAGATACGAATTTAGTTAAAAGTATTAGTGATTTAACCTTGGTTCTTTTTTTAAATACTGAATTGACTTACTAAGAGTATAATTATATGTCTGAGGTATTGGTGATTAGGAAAATTATTTGAATTCATACTTGAAAATATTGTACACTCTTGCCCCAATCCATGTTAACTGCTTTTAATCCCACTACCCTTATGTTTTCAGTTACTTTTATAGGCTACTCTGCCCAAAACATTTTTTGATTTTTGTTTTTAATGCTACTTTTACTTCATAGAATATATTTAAAAGCTTACTCGGGGGACTTCCCTGGTGGTCCAGTGGTTAAGACTCCGCGCTTCTAGTGCGAGGGGTGCGGGTTCGTTCCCTGGCTGGGGAACTGAGATCCCACATGTGCTGTGCGGCGCAGCCAAAAGATGAAAGTAAAAGCTTAGTCTGTCAACAGCTAACCATGAGTTTTTATGTAGGATGCCTTTCTTTTGGTAGGAGTCAAGGAGAATTCTCTTTTCCTTCCTCAGTAAATTTGATTGTTTTATATTCCTGTAAAAATGATACACTCTTTGTTTACATGAATTTATATTAAATACACATTCACATGTGGAAGGTAGTAAGGGATCTGTGGACAGCTGTATATGTGGGTATGTGTGTGCTTATACATTTTTGAATTTCTAGATTAAGTATTAGGATGTTTTCTGTATACTGTTGTAAACTACTTTTTCACTTGACATTGCATGAAAACATCATTCCACATCAACGTAAATTTAAATATACGTTGAGATTCTTAATGGATGCATAGATTCCAGTATATATAACGTATGGATATATATAATGTATATCCATCCTCCTAAGGTTGACATTAGATTGCTTCTAGTTTTTTAATATTATAAACAGTATTGAGTTAAGCTGTATAAATGGATCTTTCTCCACTTGTCTAATTATGTCCTTAGGATAAATCCTAAGTAGTGGAATTACTGATTCAAAATCTCTCATAGAATTTTAAGGCTTAGATTTTGATATGTATTGCAAAATTGCCCTCCTGAAAAGTTATATGAATTTATGCTCCAATCAGCAATGTTTGAGAGCATCCATTTCTCTACACCTTCACTGACACTGGGTATTAAAACTAATAATTAACCCCCTTCCCCTCAATTTTAATTTTGAAAAATTCAAAATTCAGAAAGATTGAAAATACAGCACAATGAACACCCTTAGATGAATATACATAATGAATATACCCTTCATCTAGATTCACCAAATGTTAACTTTTTGCCAAATTTTTTTCTCCTCTCAGTTTTTTTCCCCATCTTTTAAAAAGTAAAATAGTATGTTCTTTTTTTTTGGTGTTAATTAATTTTTGGCTGCGTTGGGTCTTTGTTGCTGCACACAGGCTTTCTCTAGTTGCGGTGAGTGCGGGCTACTCTTCATTGTGGTGCGTGGGCTTCTCATTGCGGTGGCTTCTCTTGTTGTGGAGCACGGGCTCTAGGTGCGCGGGCTTAAGTAGTTGTGGCACGCAGGCTTAGTAGTTGTGGCTTGGGGGCTCTAGAGCGCAGGCTCAGTAGTTGTGACGCATGGGCTTAGTTGCTCCGCAGCATGTGGGATCCTCCCGGACCAGGGCTTAAACCCATGTCCCCTGCATTGGCAGGCGGATTCTTAACCACTGAGCCACCAGGGAAGTCCCTAAAATAGTTTACTCTTAACTTGGTGTATTCTATGGACATCAGCCCTAATTCCACTAATCTACTGAATACATGGCACTGCTAGGACACATACCACTGCCTACAGTTTTACTACAGTCAGTGACCAAGCTTTGGGCAAAGAGAAATTCAGTTTTTTGTTTTTTTGTTTTTTAAAAATATTTATTTAGGCTGCACCGGGTCTTAGTCTTCGTTGCAGTATGCGGGATCTTTTAGTTGCGGCATGCGGGCTTCTTAGTTGCGGCATGTGGACTTTTAGTTGTTGCCTGCAGCCTTCTTAGTTGCCTCATGTGGACTCTTAGTTGCGGCATGCATGCGGGATCTAGTTCCCTGACCAGGGATCGAACTCTGGCCCCCTGCATTGGGAGTGTGGAGTCTTACCCACTGGAGCACTAGGGAAGTCCCAAGAAATTCAGTTTTTAATGGCATCATGGAAGTATTATGGTTTGTGTTTAAACCTTAATTAGTGTATGCTTTTGACAAATATGAATAGTAACAAAATATAAATTTTAAACGTGGGGGAAAAACATAAAGAACATTGCTTATTTGTTCTTGAAAATAACAGTGATTCAAATATTTCATTCAGATTTATCTATGCCTAATGAGAAAAATGATGCGGAACTTGATTCTCCACCTGCAAAGAAAAAAAGAATAGGTTTTTTCCAGACTTACGATGTGGAATATTTAAAAGTTGGTTTTATTATCTGTCCGGGATCAAAAGAAAGCTCACCAAGACCACAGTGTGTCATCTGTGGAGAAATTTTATCCAGTGAAAACATGAAGCCAGCAAATCTTTCTCATCATTTGAAGACAAAGCATTCAGAATTAGAAAACAAACCAGTAGATTTTTTTGAACAAAAATCTCTTGAAATGGAATGTCAAAACAGTGCTTTAAAAAAGTGTTTACTAGTTGAAAAGTCACTTGTGAAAGCTTCTTATTTAATTGCTTTCCAAATTGCTGCCAGCAAAAAGCCATTTTCCATTGCTGAAGAAATAATTAAACCATATTTAGCAGAAATGTGTTCAGAAGTTTTGGGTTCCAGTGCTGGAGACAAAATGAAAACCATTCCTCTTTCTAATAGTACAATTGGACACAGGATTGATGAACTATCTGCAGACATTGAAGATCAGCTGATTCAGAAAGTCAGAGAATCAAAGTGGTTTGCCCTTCAGATAGATGAGTCATTAGAAATCTCAAATACCACCCTTCTTTTGTGCTATATTCGTTTCATTGATTATGGTTGTAGTGATATAAAAGAAGAATTATTATGTTGCATTGAAATGCCTTCTCAGATGACTGGTTTTGAAATATTTGAACTAATAAATAAATATATTGATAGTAAATCTCTGAACTGGAAGCATTGTGTTGGTCTCTGTACAGATGGGGCTGCAAGCATGACTGGTAGGTGTTCTGGTTTAAGGGCAAAAATTCAAGAAGTTGCCATGAATACAGTGGCATTTACACATTGTTTTATTCACCGTGAACATTTAGCAGCAGAAAAGTTGTCTCCGTGCTTACATGAAATTCTTACGCAGTCAGCACAAATTTTAAGTTTTATAAAGAGCAATGCGTTGAATTCACGAATGTTAACAATTTTGTGTGAAGAGATGGGGTCTGAGCACGTGAATTTACCACTTCATGCTGAAGTACGTTGGATATCAAGAGGGAGAATTTTAACAAGATTATTTGAATTACGACATGAAATTGAAATATTTTTAAATCAAAACCATTCAGATTTGGCCAAATATTTTTTTGATGAGGAATGGGTTGCAAAGCTGGCCTACTTATCAGATATTTTTTCACTTATAAATGAACTAAATTTAAGTCTCCAAGGATCTATGACTACTCTCTTCAATTTGTATAATAAAATCGATATACTTAAGAAAAAGTTAAAAATGTGGTTGAAGCGCATGGAAGAGAATGATTATGACATGTTCCCTTCATTTTCTGAATTCTCAAACTCATCAGGCTTAAATATGAGCAGTATTGCAAGCATTATTTTTGAGCACCTGGAAGGACTTTCTCAAATGCTCAATGACTGTTACCCACCAGAAGAAGACTTGTGTTCAGGAAATTTGTGGATAATTAATCCTTTTATGAATCACCAAAATAGTAATCTCACGGACTTCGAAGAAGAAAAACTAGCACGGTTATCGTCAGATTTAGGATTACAATCAGTATTTAAATCAATGTCTGTAACTCAGTTTTGGATAAATGCAAAGGCAAGTTACCCAGAACTCCATGAAAAGGCACTGAAATTTTTATTGCCTTTTTCAACTATTTATTTATGTGATGCTACATTTTCAGCTTTGACTGAGTCAAAACAAAGAAATCTGTTGGTTTCTGGCCCTGCCCTACGACTTGCAGTCACATCTTTAATTCCGAGGATAGAAAAATTAGTAAAGGAGAAAGAATAGTAATGTGCATATTGCTTATTATCAAAGTCTATACTTTTGTGTTAAATTTTGTATGAGATAAGTATCCTAAAATATAAATTCCTAATGTGGATGTGTGTTCTCGGTGATTAAATAAGTGTTTTAATAATTTTTCTCTTTTCATTGAGGAATTTAATAATTATGCATTTATACATAATTATATATAATAGTCCAAGGTAGAGAACTTAGCTATTTTATTAACTGATCAGATAATTTGGATTAGTGACAAAGATGTAGGTAATGAAAGGCCCAGTTTATAATGTAATAGCTAGCACACCTGGATGTTGAAACTGCTTGGTCTTTAGAAGCACATAGGACATGTCAGTCTTCAGCCTGCCGGCTACCTACCCAGCAGGTTGTGGGTAGGTAGAAAACAAAGATCCAAGCAGCTCGGCTATCAGGAAGTGGAAGCAGCAGGAGAGTTTGAGACCCCTGTTAGGGGCCTCTCTGGCTCTCTAGACCAGGACTTGGCAAACCTTTTTCATAAAAGGCTGGGTAATGAACATTTTAGGCTTCGCAGGCTGTAAGGTGGGAACTACTCAATTCTGCTGTTGCAGCACAAAAGCAGTAGACAATACGCAAAGTGTGGTTCAATAAACCACAGTTTATGAACTTATTTATGAACACTGAAACATGAATTTCATATAATTTTCATGTGTCATGAAAGCTGCCTTAAAAATTTTTATTAAAAAATGTAAACAAACATTGTTAGCTGAGGGAGGGGAAGGGAGTAAAACCAGAGCGCTTTCTGAATTTGTCAGTTTTCTCATCCAGGTCTAGATAGATTTCCAGGTAAAAGCAGATGGGCCAGGAGTGGCCTGTAGGGTTTTGTTCAGTGAAAGCCTCTCTACCCATGGCTGTAAGAACCTGAATTTTCAAACACCTTTCCCATTTTAACTTCAGCTGAGAGATATTAGAGGGAAAATACATTTCAGGCAATGATAGAAAAGAACAACTTATTTTAAAATTACTAGTTATTGATTTATTCTTAATAATTTCATAAATTTACTAATGTACAAATAATTCTGAGTTCTTAACATGTGCCAGGCGTTCTGCTAGGCCTGCTCTAGGCTTGAACGGCATTATCCCCATTTACAGATGCAGACGCCACTGAGGCCCAAAGAGGTTAGGTGACAGCTCGGATCGCCAAGCTAGTGTGGCAAGGGCAGGAGCGACTCCCTCCTCCCCTACCTCCCTACCCCCCGCCGCGCAACGTCTTTTGACCGTAACAGAGCTCTTCTGCACGTCACGTCCATATACCCATGTTTGATTCTACTCTGTCCATACTAGCTGGGAGACTTTCCCTGAATTCGGAGGGGCCCGTTTAGTTAAGAGCAAGTGGGCCTCAGTATCCCCATCTGTGAGATGGGGCTGCCCTGCCCAAGCGCCGTCTCCTGCCTCAGCCTTTTGGTGCTGGCCCAAAAGAGGGCGGCAACCCCCTTGGGGGCGAGGAGCGGCGGCTCTGGCGCAGGTCTTCCGGCCGCCCCGGGAGGGAGGAAACGGACGGGCGGCAGGGGGCGGGTTTTCGGCGGGGCTTACCCTGAGGCGGGCGCGTCGCGGAGGCCTGCGCGGCCATGGCGCTCCCGCTCGCAGCTCTGCGCGTCCTGTTGGGCGGCTTCTTCGCGCTCACGGGGGCGGCCAAGCTCTCGGAGCAGATCTCGGCTCCGGTGTCAGAGCAGATGGTGAGCGGCGCGGGGTGGGCGGCGGACGGTTGGGCGGGGGACTGGCCGCAGGGCGGCGGGGGCTGCGACCCCGGCCGTTACCCAGGTGCCCGGCCGGCCCCCGCCTCTCCGTGCCCGCCCGCGCCCCGCGGACCCGCCTGTCTTCGGGCCAGACGGCGCTAGAGCTGGGGGGAGCACCTGGACAGCTACTTAGGCGTGGGCCCCTGCCTGGGGAGTTCCTCCGAGTTCTCTGGATTTTCCCTGGAAGGGGACGGTCACATTCCCTTCCATTCGGGCATTTTTGGCCCCAGGCAAATCTGGAGCCGATGAGGAATACTCTGGGACCCTTGGGGAGAGAGAGGGACCGAGCTCCCTTTGCGCCCTCCTTCCTTTGCTTGAGTTCTTGGGGGTGTTCATGAGACGGGGGGTTATTAATCCCTGCTTATCAGAGTAGGAAACCTGCCCTGAAGGTGAAGTGTATCTGCTAAAGGTTACACAACTAGTCAAGAAGCAGGACCCAAACTTTAGATACTCTCCTAACTTAGAATCCAGAGAGCCCTTCCCAGAGCCTGAGAGGGAGGCCTAGAAGTCGCCCTTCGACTTCCTGTCTAGTTCCAGACTCTCCGAAAAGCTGTCATGTCCTTCTGCCCACCAATCTGCCCAGTCCCTCAGATAAGCCAGACTTCTAGATCTCTGCCAGTTTCCTTCTTCCAGGCCTGGCTTAGGGTGGGGGGTTGTTTGGGGAAGTACATCCTCAGAACCGGACAGCTTAGAGTTTCTTCCTTAGAGCACTGAGTAGGGGAGGTAGAGCTGAGGTGGGAGAGCCAGCAAAGGTAGCCAACCTAAGGGTCCAGGTGAAGTTGTCATGTGGCCCAGGACAGAGCTTGACTTAGCGAGCGAGCTGAGTCACTCACTTTGACCCCCTCAACTCCCTTTCTGTCTACTGCAATGAGAGCCAGGTCCCAGCATATGATATTGAGTAGAATCTGTTTAATGAACAAGAATCTCCCCTTCCATTCCCTTCCTCCTCACCAAATATTCCCTGCATAGTAGCCTGAAGAGAAACCAGGCCAAACAGAAAGAGAAGCGCCGGAGTTCCCAAGGCCTTGGCACTAGATGAGAAAGCCCAAGCCTAGCTTCCTCTTCCCGGAATTTGGGGCTGGGTTGTAATCTGGTGAGAAAATCAGTCCATCTCTGTACCACCATCCCACCCTTCTTGGAGCGTAAAGCCTGTTTTCTGATTCCAAAGCTCAGCCCCCCAGGGAGGCCGTCTCCTTTCCAGGCTGGCTGACCTTAGCCCTGGACCTGGCCTAGAGTAGTATCTCCTTTGCTGGGGGCGTTGAGGGCACTGGCACAGAATGCCTCTGTGGAGCATCTGGGCAGTGGATCCTTGGTGACTCTGGCTGACAGGCATTCCCTGCCGCCCCTAGAAAGCCCTGTTCGTGCAGTTCGCTGAGGTGTTTCCACTGAAGGTGTTCGGCTACCAGCCAGATCCCATGAGCTACCAAGTGGCTGTGGGCTGGCTGGAACTGCTAGCTGGGTTGCTGCTGGTCCTGGGCCCACCGATGCTGCAAGAGATCAGCAACTTGCTTTTGACACTGCTCATGATGGGTAAGGGGGGTGCAACTGGGCTGGTGAAATGGGGACTTCTAGGCGAGGGTGATAGCAAAAAGTCTGGCTGTTCTCGTTACTTTTGCCACTCTTTTCCTCTGGAACCAGAAGCATTTCCTGCTCTATTGCAGTTTCCATGGTCTTCAGACTAGGCTAGGTGCTTTTTAAACTTAATATACTATAACCCTCTTCTATGTCAGATATACCTTCTATGTCATCAGTTCTATTGGCTGCATGGTATTTCCATTATAAGGATATATTGTAACCTAAAAGCCCCTACCCCTTTCTCATTACCCCTACCCTGAGATGAGGGGTTGGAGTAGCAGCCGCCACTGGACTCATGTGTCTGGCAGGTGGAAACAGAGAGCAAGGAAGCTGGGCCCCCTGACCAGAAAGGCAGAGGATTTCCCTGTGGCAGGCATTCCTAGAGGGCCTCCTCTTAGTGGCTCTGCCCACAGGAACTGCTGATGTACAAAGACAGCTGCTGCTTCAAAGGCCAGACATCTTCAGGCTCTTCTATGTCCCCTGGCCTTGTGTCACCATTGCTGCTGCCACTACCACCCTTCTTCCAGGCTTTCTATTCATTTCCACAGCTTCCTTCATTTTCAGATCTTTCCCACTACCTCCACCACCAATCCCTGGGCCTTCTTCCCTCCACTAGGATTGAGAAAGGAGAAGGATCAGGGAGAATCTGTTCCAAAATGCCCACCTACTCACCTTGCCCTGTTTGGTTGGATTGTTGCTATTTCTTGCCATCTGAGAGGGTCTACGTTAGTTCAAGAAACTTTTGATTTCTGGTTCTGCTTTCTCTGGGAGGTCAGAGAGATGAGTGCAGCTAGTTTAGGGTGTGTGTGTTGGTGGGGGGCAGTGTTCAAGAGAGGGCTTAAGGTAGAGTGGGTCAGCTTGGCTGGAGGGCCCTGAGCTCCTGGATCTCCTGAGCATTCCCAGGGAGCCTCAGGGACCTCATTTTCCATTCCAGGGGCTATCTTCACTTTGGTGTCTCTGAAAGAATCACTGAACACCTGCATCCCAGCCATCGTCTGCCTGGGGCTCCTGCTGCTGCTGGATATCTGCTAGCTCTTAGTCCAAACTAAAAAGATGTTCAGACACCCTAGGAGGAAGTCTCCAAGTGCATTCAAGGAATCCTGGGAGTAGAGTCTGTCTTGCCTCCTCATGCCATGTCACTGCCAAAGCAGGAACATGGTGGAACACAGAATGTCACCTTGTTACCAGTACACCCAAGGTTGGCCAGCGTTGAAGTAGACATCTGGTCTACCTGGCCCTGCTTTGTCTCTTGGACATTTACTGCTCTTTTTTGAGGGGTACATGTTACATATTCTAGCATTCCTCATGTCATATGAAAATAGAAAATAAATTTAAATCACCCAAACTTTTAATGCCCCCAAATAACTACTTTCAATTCCTTTGTATAACTGTACCTCCCAGTTTTTTCTGTGCCTTTATACAGATGTTTTTAAATGAAAATGAGACCATATATACTACTTTATTATCTGCTTTTTAAACCTAATACACTGTAATACCATTCTCTGTCTGTTTTACCTCATTGATGTTAATGGGTGCATAGTATTCCATTGTAAGGATGTACTGTAATGTATCTATACAAGCCCCCAATGAGAAACATTTGGATTATTTCCAATTTTTTAACTATTGTAAACCTCACAGTTAATCATCTCTGCATATTTATTTTCTTTCCCTAGAAGTGAGGGTGCTGATTCAAAAGGCATGCACGTTTTTAAGGTTTTTATTATATGCTCAGAATTTACACATCGAGTACGGCAGAGTACTGAGTATACCTGCTTCCGCCTGCTGAGCCACGTGAGGTACTCCCCATTCTTTTTTTTTCTTTTAAATTTTATTTGTTTTTGGCTGCGTTGGGTCTTTGTTGCTGCACGCGGTCTTTCTCTAGTTGTGGTGAGCGGAAGCTACTCTTTGTTGTGGTGCACGGGCTTCTCATTGCGGTGGCTTCTCGTTGCGGAGCACGGGCTCTAGGCGCACGGGCTTCAGTAGTTGGAGCACACAGGCTTAGTAGTTGCGGCATGTGGGCCCTAGAGTGCGCGGGCTCTAGGGCGCGTGGGCTTCAGTAGTTGTGGCATGGGGGCTCCGTAGTTGTGTCTCACGGGCTTAGTTGCTCCGCAGCATGTGGGATCTTCTGGACCAGGAATTGAACCTGTGTCCGCTGCATTGGCAGGCAGATTCTTAACCACTGTACCACCAGGGATGTCCCTCCCATTCCTTTTTTAAATTAATTAATTTATTTTTGGCTGTGTTGGGTCTTCGTTTCTGCGCAAGGGCTTTCTCCAGTTGCGGCAAGCGGGGGCCACCCTTCATCGCGGTGCGCGGGCCTCTCACTGTCGCGGCCTCTCTTGTTGCGGCGCACAGGCTCCAGATGCGCAGGCTCAGCAGTTGTGGCTTACGGGCCCAGTAGCTCTGTGGCATGTGGGATCCTCCCAGACCAGGGCTAGGACCTGTGTCCCCTGCATTGGCAGGCGGACTCTCAACCACTGCGCCACCAGGGAAGCCCCCTCCCATTCCTTTTTATCTTGTGCACTTGAGAGTTGTAAAGCTAACAGAGATGGGCATTAAGTCATTTTACAGGACCTGAAACTGCCAGGGAAGTGCTCCTTGGCACCTAGATGGAGGCAGGGGACAGCCAACTCTAAGGCATGCTGCACGTTAAAGCAGTGCCAGAACCTGTGATGAATCCCAGAGGTCCTAGGGAGTCAGAAGGGTGTGTGTGAGAGACAATTCTCGAGGGCAAGTGACCATGTTAGGGTACCTACTATCACATCACCAACCATCTTCACCTCAGTGGGGTTCTTTTGGGAAGTGATGTACCTCCATAAGGGAAAATAGTGAAGAAAAAGAAATCATTTATTTATGCAAATACTCTAGCCACCAGCCTACAAATTGCTTTGGGGGTTAGGGAATGGCTTTTGGGAGCCCACAGGAGTGAGAGAAGTCTATGTATATTACTCCATTTCATCTTCACTATAGAAGGGTAATTTCTGCTCTGACACTGATGAGCTGGGAACCTCAGGTAAGCTGGCACTCTTAGTTAGGTCTTCTTGTGTCTGAAAGCACAGTGATGCAATCTCTCTATAGTTAGGGGTGTGTGTGTGTGTATGTATGTGTGTGTGTATACATATATATGTATATTAATACATATATATGTAGTAGTATATGTATACTACATGTACAGTGTGTCAAAACAATAAGGAAACTTTCTGTCACATAAGAGGTCCAGAGATAACATAGCTTCAGTTTCTTTTTTTAAAAAAAATAAATTTATTTATTTTTCTCTGCATTGGGTCTTCGTTGCTGTGCATGGGCTTTCTCTAGTTGCAGTGAGTGGGGGCTACTCTTTGTTGCGGTGTGCGGACTTCTTATCCTGGTGGCTTCTCTTGTTGTGGAGCACGGGCTCTGGGCGCCTGGGCTTCAGTAGTTGTGGCTCACAGGCTCCGTAGTTGTGGCTCGTGGGATCTAGAGCGCAGGCTCAGTAGTTGTGCTGCTTTCAATTTATTGACTTCTGCCCTCAGGGTTACAAAATAGCTGAAGCAGCTCCAGACAACACATTTGCACATAATATCCAAAGGTGAAAAGAAAGAGGAAAGCTCTCTTAGAAGACCCTAGGTTTCCCCTTGCATCCCACTGTACAGAATTATGTCACATTTCCATTCTTAGACCAGTCACTGGCAAGGAGAATGGAATTTCCAAGTTGGACTTAGACAAGTTAAGATTTACCCACACTGGTCAAGTGGTCAGCAAAGAAGAAGGGAGAGAGTAGATAGTGCCACTTACTAACTTATTTGCAAATATGGATAATAATGGCAAATATTTTCATAGAGTTGCTGTGAAGATTTAGTGAGTTAAAGTGTTTACAGTAGTGCCTGGTACATAATAAGTGCTCAGTAAATGCTATTATTAAATAGCGTTTGTTATTAAATAGCAGTTCTACAGATGAGAAAATGGATTCAGAAAGCTTAAGTGCCTATGTGTCAGACCTGAGACTAGAATTAAGACCTGGTTGACTCCAGAACCCACACTTTCCACTGCACCAGTTGCCAAAGTTGGAAGTGGGCAGGTGTGGCACCCCTGCTCTTCAACTTGAAGGTAGATGGGATGATCGGTTCAATGTAATTAAATCTCCATTGCTTCCCAGAATTGCCCTTCTGCATGAAAATTTTGAAACCCTTGAAAGTAGAGCCTGGAAACCCTGGGATCTTGGCCTCTTACCATCTCCACCCCTTCCAGGATTCCATAGCCAGCTTGTCTCCAACCAGGACTTTGAGTAAAACCTCACACAGCTGGTATTAGATTGAAGGCTCCTATTTACCGAGGCTTGGCCTGTAAGCTGATTTAGCAGCTACAGGGCCCTTCAAGCTTGGCTGTAGGGCCCACCTAGCAGCTTCAGGAAAGGCAGGGTGCTGGAAGAGTAGGCTGGCCAGCTGGTATGGAGGAGCAGTTGGGATTGACAGCAGCAGGAGTATCTTTAGCTTTAGCTGTGCTGCCTCACCCCAAGGAGAAGCCAGGCCTTAGGAAACGGGCCCCCCAAACCACAGCCTAAGCCTTGGTCAGGTTGGCACAATGACATTCAGCTGCGAGGCCTTCCTTATACTTTGCTATCTCCCTCCCTGTGCCCCCTTGCCTTGCAATGACATTCCCTTCCCTTGGGGCCCTGGCTGCACCCCACAAACCCTGCTCACAGCTGCCACAGGTGGACTCCAGCCCTTCCAGCTGTTGAGCCCATTCTTCATGTCGTGTCTTGGGATTAGTCAGTTGATGGGAGGGCCTAGGATATGTGGGTGGCAGTGGATTCTCATCTGTCTCAGCTCCTTAAACCCAGGCCCCCAGGAACCCAAAGAGATCTGCAGCAGCCAGAGCAGCAAGAGGTAAGAGAGGAGTGATCTGGTGGGAAGGCGGGGAGAGGTTCAGGGTGGGATGGTTAGGGCCAGAGCCATGGTGGGCCGAGCTGAGTGCGAGGGGCAGAAGGGAATACGCTCACTCAGGGTCCCAGAAAGGACTGGAGCCTGAGAGATTCAAAGGTAAGAAGTACAAATTTTGGTATTGGAGGAACCATGTTTTGGAACACCCTAGGAGTGTGACTATGTGCCACAAATAGGAACAGGACATTGGCTTGTGCACTTATCCCCCTTGGGGAGAGGGGGAATATGCCCAGATGTGTTTGTGCTGTTGTGTTTGACTGGGGTGTCCATGTCTCTAACGCTGTGTGTGTGCCTGTGTGAGTGTACACATTTATCTCTGTGCTGCCTAGAGGGGAAGGGAGCGTATCTCCCCAGTGTCAGCCAGTGCTCAGAGTTTTACTTATGTTTTCTCATAATCCCCCCAACACCACTGTGAGGCAGGTATTTTAATCTCCATTTTACAGCAGAGAAGACAGGCTCAGTGAAGCTGAGTAATGTGCCCGAGGTCATAATGGCAGATAAATGTGTGTATCTAGGATCTGCCTGATTCCCGGGCCTGTGCTCTTTTTGCTTTGCTGTCCAAAGTTTTAAATCAGACCCAGGACTTCTTTGTGGTCAAAAGGCAAGGGGGAAGGAAACAAGACTGGAAGGCCTGTGAGACGTGAAACCTTTTCAGCTCTGCCCAGGGTGCTCCAGGCAAGCCCCAGGAGAGGACCTTCACCAAGGTAAGTCCAAGGTCACTGTGCATGGGCCTGCCTCTGGGTCACTGCATCCTAAGTCCATAACTCCATCCACGCCTCACTCTCCCCCCTACTGATCTGGATGGCACTGGAGCAGGGAGGCGTGGGCTTTTTCTAGGAAGGACCCTATATTCCAGCCTGGTTTCTCCATAACTCCCTGTTGGCTCAGCCTTGCTTAGGCTTATTAATGCACATACCTGGGCACCACAAGTCAGAACCGTACACCATCTGTGAGGGACACCTTCACCCTCCCAGTCGCCAAGGTTGGAAATTTCCAAACTACCTGGGATTCCTGTCTCTTCCTCATTTTCTACATCTTGTCACCAAGCTCATTCTACTTCAGATAACTCTGGAGCCCATCCCCTCCTCTCCATCCCCAGCTGGTGCTGGCTGTGCTCAGGCCTCAGCCCCTCGCCGGGCTTCCCACCACCACCGACTGAGGAAAAGAGGACGGGGGTCGGGTGGGGGAAGGCGGGATGGAGGGCTCTTGTATGGCTAACCTCCATGGTGACCTCTCTTCCTCTTGCTAGCCCAAGGTCCGAGATGAACAGCAGCGCTGGGGACCTGGGTGTTGGTGCTGGCGGCCGCAGCCCCTGGGGCGACCCTGCTGGCTTCATTGTGGTGCCCACAGCCTTCGCCTTGGCGCCGGGCCTGGGGCTGCCGGCCAACGTGGCGGCCCTGGCAGTGTTCGTCCGCCGCGGCAGGCGCCTGTGCCAGGCCTTGTGTCTCCACCTGCTCAACCTGGCCATGGCCGACGTGCTCTTCATGCTTACACTGCCGCTGCGGCTCACGTACTACCTGGGCCCGACCCACTGGCTCTTCCTGGAGGCTGCCTGCTGCGCGGCCGGGACCACCTACTGCGTGTCCACCTACGCGGCCTTGGCCTTCGCGGCGCTCACCAGCGTGTGCCGCTGCGGCTCGGTGCGGCCGCCCAGCCCTGCGCCGCTGGGGCCCCGCCCGCGCCACGTGTGCTGCTGCCCGGCTGGCCGGCCAGGCCTGTGCCGCACCCTCGCTGGCCGCACCGCATGCGCTGCGCCCCAGGCCGGGCAGCGCCAGCGCGGACCTGGCCTACGACACCGTGGCCGCCTTCCCCGCCGCCTTCCTGCTGGTGCTTGCGGCCTATGTGAGCTTGGCGCGGGTGCTCGCGGCGCCCTCGGGCCCGGGACCGGCCCTCGCCCCAGACGGTCCAAACCGGCGCGCGGCCAGGACAATGGTGCTCGGGCACCTGTTGGTCTTTGCCCTCTGCCTGGCGCCCTACCACCTGCTGCTGGCGCCCTGGGTGGCCGGGCAGGAGGACACCGTGGGCCGCGACGACAGAGGGTGCCAGGCCACCTCCACGCTTGACGTCCTGCACACCCTCAGCCTGGCGCTGCTGAGTCTCAACAGCTGCCTGGACCCACTCATCTACTGCTTCTCTGTGCGCAGCTTCTGCCAGGACTGCTGGGCTCTGAGCTGCCTCCCGGGGGTAGGGAGGTCCGGGTCACACTCGGTCTCCTCGGCCTCCACGGCCTCCTCCTAGAGAGTCCCCTGGCCTGCTGCCTGCTTCACCCCTGCCACCCTCCCAGTGGCGTCCTGGGTGGTGAAAGCTCTTTGCAAGGACCTAGACTCCAGTCCTGACGCAGCCACATACTAGCCGCCTGTAGTTGTAGACCTCCGGGCTCTGTCAAAAGGGGAAAGAACATTCTCTATTGACCCGAATGTTTCCTAGACTTTGCCAGTGTTTGGATACAGATAATATGCCATTGCTTTCAAAATCTCTGGGGATAAACCCCAAAGTCCTAAACAGGGCCTACAAGGGCTAACTGCCTCCTGCTTCTCTCTCAGCATCCTCTCATCCTCATTTTCCCTCTTCTCCTCTACCACATCTGCCCGTCTCCGTGGGTTGAGTCACCTTATCAGTCCCTGGAACAGACCAGTTTCCTCCTCTTCAAAGCCTTTGCAGCTGACTGCCAGGAATGATGTCCCTCCGTCTCCTTTGCTAAGTTAATTCCTTTCCATTCTCACTTCCTCAAACGTAGCTGTAGGGAAGCCTTTGTTGACCAGCACCACATACACCATTCCCTAGACTGGGTTAGATCTGGTTGCTCCTTTATAGCTCTTTCCACAATTGCAATCAAGCAATTAACTGGTTAGTTCTTTTTTTTTTTTTCTGTTGTTCTTTTTCTCTGTATTTATGTCGATCCATGAGAGAGTGCCATTTTTGTAGACCCAAAAGGGTTGAATAGTGGCAGTTTTATTTTCATCCAATTCAACTTAATAAATTCCATGTTTGTCATATTTACTGCTTGCTACCGTGCCTTGCATGTAGTAAGACCTCAGTATGTCAGATGAATGCATGAAACCTGAATATCATTAGCTTAAAATGCTCAAGGACTCACTCAGACATTCTAGTCTCCGGTAGATTTTCCTCAAGTGTTTCTGGGATTCTCCAAGCTTGTATTACCAGATGCATTCTTTTTGTTTGTTTGTTTTTGGTTTTTTTGCGGTATGCGGGCCTCTCACTGTTGTGGCCTCTCCCGTTGCGGAGCACAGGCTCCGGACACGCAGGCTCAGCGGCCATGGCTCACAGGCCCAGCCGCCCCGCGACTCGTGGGATCCTCCCAGACCGGGGCACGAACCCGCGTCCCCTGCATCGGCAGGCAGACTCCCAACCACTGCGCCACCAGGGAAACCCCCAGATGCATTCTTGAAGCAGTCCTGATGATTGCTTCCGTCTGCAGTTGCTGGTTACCCACGACTCTGCCATCACCTCCACTGTCCCAAGAGTCCTGTGCCAAGACTTGGTGATAACCAAGCTGGAGATCCATCCTGCCATTAGCTGGGACAGGGATCCGTCAGACTTGCTGCCTTCTGCTTCAGCTTAGCCGGGACTCTGTCACTGGGTGCAAATCCCTGGCAATGGTTCTGGCCACCAGTGCTTTCCCTCCTCGTGCCTTGATGACTTAGCAGTTGGCTTCAAGTGGGGGAATGGAACCACTCCCTCTCCTCGGCCATGTTATAGGGGGCCCCATAACAAGGCTGCTTGGATCTCAAGCTTAATGAGTGAGGGCAGCGTGTTCATGTTGCCAAGTCAGATGGGTCAGGAAGGGTTCACCAGTCAGCTACCATGTCTTACTGACCTCAGGTCCTATTGCTGAATTTGCCTTCTAATGGTAAGTTTGAGAAATTTCTTTAATTTTTGATACATTACCTTTCATTGTTCCCTTATTCCTTCTTTAACTGTTTTCTTTTACATTTTAAAAATAATGCTCATGAAAAGAAATTCAAAGCAGTAGAGAAAAATGCAAAATCAAAAATAAAGCTTCTCCCGGTGGTAACCACCATTCACAGTTTCTTGTGTATCTTTCCAGAGAGTTTCTATTACAGTACAGATATAGGTATAGTCAATTTCCTTCAAAAATCCACAAATGGGATAGTGTTACAAGGCTCTTCTGCACTTTTCCTCATTTAATGTATCTTGTACTTCTTTTTATATCAGCACGTATAGATCTACCTCATTCTTTTTAATAGATGCAGAGTATTGATTTCACTCAATTGATCCCCCTGTTGATGGGCATTTTTTTTAACATCTTTATTGGAGTATAATTGCTTTACAATGGTGTATTAGTTTCTGCAGTATAACAAAGTGAATCAGCTATACATATATTCCCATTTCTCCTCCCTCTTTTCCTCTCCTTCCCACCCTCCCTATCCCACCCCTTGGGCATTTGCTTTACTGTGATAACTAATAATGCAATGAGTGTCCCTGTCCACAAATCTTTGCATACTTGTAAATCTGTAGAATAAATTCCTGGCAGTGAAATCGCTGCGTCAAGGAGTATGTGTGTGCACTTAAATGGTTTAATTAAATCACCAAATTGCCTCCAAAAATGCAGCACCAATTACACACCCATCAACAGCTCGTAACAGTCCCTGTTTTATCACACCCTCACTAGGACTGGATATTGTCACCTGCCTCCTTCTTGAATCTGGACTCCTGTCTGCATTTCAACTGTGGGCATGGTTAATTTGCTTCTTTTTCCTAGAAGTCTTCTCAGTCTCCTCCATATCTGAAACCTGCCAGTGGGGGCAGAAGTGGGAAGGGAAAGGGTATCACCTGAGACCTCATACCAGCCAAACGCCTGTCTTGCTTGCTAGAGGAATTAAACAAAAGCCCAAATACACATTGGTAATTGTCATCTCTCCTTCCTTGGGAATTAGGTTGGCTCATTCCATGCAACACTGACCATCATCTCAGGCCAAGGCCAGGAGGCAGCCTGGGCCCACGTCGTGAATTCACTTGCTCTGGTGGAATGAATTGCTTGGCCCCAGTAGCTGTGCAAAGCTGGGTCTCTGAGAAATGATCTCGTGTCCACGCTAGAGCCAGCTGAATCTCCTGAGGCCAAATTTGATTCTGTTCAAATAAAAAAATGATTCCCTGTGGCATCATCCATCCCCGTGGTCTTGTACTATCTTGCTTTTGATGTGACTTTTCCCTTAGTAGTCAGTTTCCTTTGGGAAATGTCTAACTTAGTCTTCTGTGTCTGACCTGAGGAAAAAGAACTTGAGAGTCGATTGCCTCTGGGAGCTCAGACACAGTGGAAGGAAGGCCTCTGTTTGGAGTTAGTGCATTTGGGAATCACCCTCCCCTCTCCCTGGTGATTCAGGAGAGTAGGAACCTGGGGTGAGAACCCAGAGGCAAAGAGCTTGAGGGATGAGAGAGAACAGATGGCTTTGTACTGTCAATACTTTTGGATTCTTTTTGCCTTATTTATTCTAAACTTTCAAGAATTTGACCCAAGACCCTCCCTCAGTCCAGGATGGAGAAGAGCGAGCCCAGGTTGGTCCTTGATTAGATGCTGGACACCCTCTTTCTCCAGGATCCAGGGAAAACTCATCTGCCAACTGTTCCCAGCAGCTGGGGGAGTCTAGGCTATGTTTTCAGTATGCCCTGGACCTCGCTACCTCTTGTAGGGCCAGGAACGCCCAATTCCCACCCCTACGCACCCAGGCCACACCCTGTAGCTGTGGGGTCCAAACGTGGTGCAGAGAAGATGCTCCTGACACAGAAGGAAGAACGCTTCCTTTCCTGCCGGAACCCGCTCTCTCCTTCAGCTCAATTACTGTCCAGGTCTCTGAACCCAGCCCAAGCCCGTTCCTGCCTTTGGCTAGGGCTGGTCCAGGTCCTCGGCTCTGCACACGCCAGCCTAGGGCCCCTCAGCCAGCCGTGCTTCCTCAGTGACCCTGCTTGCTTTTCCTGAGTCCGCCTCTCCAGACCAGCCTCGCCTGTTCCCTCAGCCCCTGCAGGAAGCCTGTCACACCTCAGCTTGATTTCTCTATTGTATTCAGGCCCTGGCCCCAGGCGCTCTCTCTGCAGCTGATTCTTTGCCTTGACATCTATTTCCTTCTCCTCTAGCCTTGGAAGGAGGATAGTGTTTTCCCTCTGGGTTTTGCAGATACCCCTGTGGCTGCAGCTGTCTTTCACTGGTCCTGAAACCAGCTCCATGGACTACATTCCAGCTTCAGGGACTGGGACCTCCTCCCCAGACCTGTCACTCCAGGGCTCTCCCAGGCCTGCCCTTTCCCTCTGCTGGTATGGAACATGCCCACCATCTGGCCCTAGTGCTGTCGTTAAGTCATGCTTCTTTGCCCCTAATTTCCCGTGAGCACCAGGCTAGCTCTGAAATGTACTAGTGGTTGGGGTGCTGGGCTCACGCTGGCCCCTAGCATTGGCGGGGTTCTGGGTGAGCGTGCAGAACGAGGCCCAGATACTATATGTCTAAATATTTACAAGTTATAAATTAAGCAAACACATTTTTAAATGAAATGCATTCCATTCATCTTCCTTGAAAAATATACCTTCATAATGATAGAATAGAAAAATACATTTAAAGTTGTGGTTTTCAAGACTGAAAATCAGCAAATTATCAAAGGTGAGAGAATCTAATTTTACATATTATGTTCAAACATTGTATTTGGGTGGTGTATGATAAATTATTATTACAGAAAATATTAATTATTTTAATTTCATCATATAAATCACCATTATTCATAATATAAATATTTTTTACCATTTCTTCAAGCCATTTCTATACTCATACAGAAATTCTTAAGTTCTTTTTTTCAAAAATTTCAATAATTTACTGTTATTTTATTTTATTTATTTAATTTTACTTATTTATTTATTTATTTATGGCTGGGTTGGGTCTTTGTTGCTTCACCCGGGCTTTCTTTAGTTGCGGCGAGCGGGGGCTACTCTTCGCTGCGGTGCACGGGCTTCTCATTGAGGTGGCTTCTCTTGTTGCAGACCACGGGCTCTAGGCAGGCGGGCTTCAGTAGTTGTGGCACTCGGGCTCAGTAGTTGTGGCTCACGGGTTCTAGAGGGCAGGCTCAGTAGTTGTGGTGCTCGGGCTTAGTTGCTCCGTGGCATGTGGGATCTTCGCGGACCAGGGCTCGAACCCGTGTCCCCTGCATTGGCAGGAGGACTCCCAACCACTGCGCCACCAGGGAAGGCCGTATTTCACTTTTAAAACTAAAACATATATCTATACATATCAGAAAATGTTTTTTTTTGAAATTGAGAAACACTGCATGTGAAATATACAACCAAAGTGAGATTTCAATAAAATATGAGGCAATTAGAACAATGAAAGGAAAATGTCTGACAATGAATAAGATTCACAGACATAAAATCTCAAAACTAATTTTTATACAGACTACTTTTTGGGTACTATAGATTGAGGTATAATCTTGATTGAAGAGAGATCTGAACAAATTTAGCAACGAGTCGTCATTTTCTGTTATTTTAAAATAACAGTCCAGGGACTTCCCTGGTGGCACAGTGGTTAAGAATCTGCCTGCCTATGCAGGGGACACGGGTTCGAGCCCTGGTCCACGAAGATCCCACATGCCGCAGAACAACTAAGTCCGTGTGCCACAGCTACTGAGTCTGCGCTCTACAGCCTGTGAACCACAGCTACGGAGGCCTAGGGCTGAAGCCCGCTCGCCACAACTACTGAAGCCCGCGCGCTTAGAACACGTGCTCTGCAACAAGGGAAGCCACGGCAATGAGAAGCCTGGGCACTGCAACAAAGAGTAGCCCCTGCTCACCCCAACTAGAAAAAGCCTGCGCGCAGCAACAAAGACCCGACGCAGCCAATAAATAAATAAATAAAAGTGAAATAGTTAACTCTTATGTTTCTATAAACTTTTACTAACATTTTTTTTTACTAATATCTCTTCAAAATTAATATATTTTTCCACCAATGAACATAGTTTATTCTTTAGTGGGGAATTTTATTT